AAGCACTTTGCATCTGTTTTCCTTATTCTCATAATATCCTCTCAGGGGGCCGAGATTTTAATCTGTCTTCAGAGCTCATGTCATTTCTGTGTCACAACCACCTCCCATGTCCTGATTCCACTTTTCAAAACTTTTATCATGAACAAAATTATTCTGAACCAACATTCAACTAACATAGTATTGTCCCCAGGAGCCCCTGATATAACAACCCAGTGAGACTGGACATCATGTTTTTTTATTTCTGTTTATAACTGAGAGAACTGCAGTTCTGCTCTATCGTGTGATTTGTCCAGGGCATCACCACAAAAGTAAATGTGGAACCATCTCGAAAAATCCAGCTGCGATGCCGGAACACTCTTCCACCACTGTGATCCCTCCTGCAACTCACATCAATCAAGTGACATTGAGATAGCAACCAAGGGGAAAGTTAACCTACTGAAATGCTAATGTTCATTTCTAGCCAGATTTCCAATCATTCATTTTGAATCACTATGTAGAGACCTTAGTCAACATGTACCTTAAGCAACATACAGACTAATTTATTTCCCATGCTGGTATTCTACTTTCTAACTCCTTTCTCTATCTCCTTGCTCCACGGGGACTCCCTATATGGATGTGTTATTGGAATCCCATAGAGAAAAACAGCACATACTTGAAATCCCATCAACTTCTCCAAAGATCTAGTAACCACGTGAGCCAAGAAGACCCCAGGCACTGTTCTCCTTCTTTAGAGACTGTATATTATCAAACAATTCCAAGCAAAAGATAGCTGATAAAAACTTTTTTGGGGACTCTGGCATTCCTTTCAAAAGTCACTTTTTTCAAAGAAAAGCTTCACACTCTTACCTACCATTCCATATTACATTAAATTTTACTCCTGTAATGGGCCTTGGTGAGTCATTTCCCTCTTGGTTTGCTGAGCTCCTGTTTCTCCCACAAGGGAATAAATTCTGATCATTTTGTGGTTCCCAAAGGGCTCATGTCCTAAAATAGATTCTGAAATTTTTATTAATGAAACATTTATTTTGCATATCTACCATTCTGTATTCTCTCCATATAATGCTTTACAACATAGCATCCATCAGAAAAACCATAAACTGCTTGAATGGTGCTTACATGCAACACAATTTAATATCCCTGCAAGAACTAGTGATTTGTGATGCACATTATTCACCATGGTCGTGTATCATTCCAGATTTTAATGTTTGGAGGGCAGATGGTAACCAATATAGTGGTGAGACTAGACTGACTCCTTTGGAATACCAGTCCATAGCCTAACGTCTAGTATGGACTAACTACAAAATAAGTTTATTAAAGAAATGGCAAAATGTGAGGTATAAATGTCTGTGTTTGTAATGGATTCAATGATTTTACAATGTTAAAATTTAGAGATTTGAAGGGAGAAAGGTTGGAAGAGGAAATATTTTCCCTCTACCCCTTGGCTAAGCCTTGGCCACTCTTTTTGCAGGTCTTCTGGTTTCACTTAGGGTACTTAATCACAAGCAACAGAAATGGATTCTAGTTGGTAGTATCTGAAAAGGAATGACTCATGCTGTACTCTGTAGCTCACAGAATAGAGGGGAAGTCTGAAGGAGGAGGCTTGGGCAATGGGCAAGACCAAAGGTAAGCCACCAGCCTGAAATCAAGTGACATTGCAAAGTTAACCAAGGGAAAAGCCATCCTCCTGGGATACTTACTAGTGCATTTATAGAAAGAATCCTCTAAAATACTGTCTTCCAGTTTCTTGCTAGCTCTTGTGCCTAACCGAGCCCAAGTTGCACACCATGCCATACCCTCCAGGGGCACTGGGGAAATGAGTACCTGGCATTTCCCAGCTTTTATGATATAAGGTGTGGCTCTGTCTCTCACTATGGCTTGTAATGTGAGAACTCCCCAAAGGTGGGGAGGGGTTCACAAGTTGGGAAGCCAAAAAAAGATCTGCGTTTGCTACACTTCCTAACTGGCCCAGAAAATGGCACCCAGCATCCTGCATTTTCCTCTCTTCTTTGACTTCTTGTCACACCTGCAGCGACCAGCTCAATGCTGAATAAACACAACTGTTGCTTATCATCTGTCTCAGACACTTTGAAATCACCAAGGAAGTACCCACCGTCACAAATCTTTGGTCTATTCCTAGTAAATTCCATAAGTACAATGATTCCAAAGCCATCCTCTAACCCTCACTGTACCCCGTAGAATTTAATTCTGTGCATGTATTCAGGAAAGTCTAACACAAACTTCTGGTTAAGAACCATGTTTTAATTTTCCCCATTTCTCCCAGCTCCTTTATAAGCCATGTCTATTTTCTGAAGGCCCAGCCTGACCATTATCAGTGTCAACCAATGACCCTTCCTTCAAAGTCAACCAAGGGAAAAGCCATCCTACTGGAATACTGGGAAAACCAAGGCAACAGATGTAAATCCACTCAATGGCTCTCTCCTGAGACTTCAACTGGAAATTCTTGTCTTTACCCATTCCATCCCTGTGCCCTGCTTCATTCTTCTTCCTTTCCAAGGCTAAACAGCCTGTGATGCTAACCTAGATGCCTTCTGGTCTAATCCAAGACTTTGCCTAACGCATGTTTTCCCTTTTGACTGATTTTGGCCTTACTTCTGTGTTATCTAATACCTTTTGACCGCACCCTATATCACTTTAGTCTCTAGCTTGACCTAAAATCCTTCAGCTAGGCTCTGCTTCCCAAAGACTACCTTCCTATTGCCATCTTCGTCTTTCACAAAAATCTGAAAGGAGGAGTCTGTACTCTCTCTTCTTCCCCTTCTCTCCTAAGTGTTTCCAGGCATACCCTCTGGACCTGCTGCTCTCCAATGTCACCCTGGCTTCCTGATTTCTGGAGCCAGTGGGTTCCTCTTAGTCTGTACCCTCCTTGGCCTCTTAGAAGCATGTGACTCTGTTGAAATCCCCTGTCCTCCTGCTGTGGCTTTTGGTGTAAATCCCTCCTGATTTTTCCTCCTGCTTCTCAGGTGATCCTTTATCAATCTCCTTTGCTGGACTTTGTGCTCTTCTTCTCTGTTTTCTCATCCTGCCCATTCTCATTTCTTCAGCTATAATTGTGAAGTGACTGGCACTTAGATACATGGCCCAAGCCTGGTTCTTCTATTCTGAAGTCCAGATCTTTCCAACAGTGCTGCAGTCCGGCTGCAGCAAAATAACCGAGGGGTGACGAGCAACTTGTGTACATTGATACAGCAGGAGTGGAAGCCGTTTATTGTAGGACAGGAGCAGTATTTATACATTCCACACCAGCTTATCTAATTAGCATAAACTAGATACATCAGTCAACCAATCAGGAATCTCCACACTTAATGGCTTGCTTTTGTTACTTCTCAAACCACTCCCTCTGGCATTTTGCCAGGCACCATCCAGACTTGTTTACGAACTCTAACATTCCCCTGGCAAAATGCCAGGTGTTCTTTTGACTTGTTTACAGACTCTAACACAACAGATCACATCTAAAGGGTGCCCAGGCCCTTTTCCTTCCCATCTCCCTTTCCATCCCATCTTTTAAAAATTTATTGAGGCTAAATACACATGATATAAAATTTACTATTTTCTCCATTTTTAAGTGTACAGTTTAGCAATATTAAGTACATTCACATCATGTGCCCCATCATTCCTTTTTGATGCCTATAGAGCTGAGGGGGAAAGGACCATTTCTTGTTTGTTTCTTCCTGGGGCCTGCCACACCTCCCTGTCACTGGCGACCCTGGTGTTTAATGGCTAAGAACATAGGCTCTGGGAGTTCTGCTCAGAGTTTGAATCCCACATCTATGACCCTGGCTGAGGTTCCAGCCTCAGAGTGGCCTCACTTCTGCATCTTGGTATTCTCTGCTTTTGTTTGTTATACATTCTCCTGAAATAACAGCTTTGTTTATTTGTGAGGAACTCCCTGCCACAAATAACTTGTCCTGCAAGGGCTCAGGCTGGAAACAAAGAGAAAATGCAACATTTGAAGAAACTTACCCAGAAAGTACAAGTTCCTGATACATTGGAGCGGGATGTCACACTTTGGCATTAGCTTAGATTTATGACACAAACAGCTCCACCAACACACTTTATGAAGAAGAGAAAACAATCCCTCATTTGAAATGCTTAGGTGAGGGCTTTCATCCTCAGATCTCCCAGTGATTGCTCATCAAGTGACAGTTAAAAATCTCTGAAAGTTGAAAGGGCGATTCATTTGAAATGGAAAGAATTTGCCCAGAAAACAGATGATTGGGGGCTGAAATTTCATGTGCATATCTTCTAAAATGCTTTCTTAACTGCTGCACTTACAGAATCATATGGATCCGAAGAGGCCATGTTGGTTTTTTTTTTCTTCTTCTTCTTCTTCACAGTATTTATTTCATTCTATAGGGGAAAGTTTTCTTATGAATGTTGGGGATTCTAGCAAGTCCTTACTGATTGTTGAGAGGCATTTTGTTTGCTTTCAGCTTTTCTTTCTTTTTAGTTTTTTTTTTTTAGTTGTAAATAGACACAATATCTTTATTTATTTATTTTTAGGTGGTGCTGAGGATTGAACCCAATGCCTCACACGTGCAAGGCATGTGCTTTACCACTGAGCTACAGCCCCAGGCCTGCATTTATTTCTTTTATGGATCAAGTCTTATCCATCCGCATAATCACCCCAGGAAATGTCACAAAAGACTCACTTTAGTATAGAAGACCCTCAAAGGTTACCAATACAGAATGTCACAGGATAATAATAAAAGCAGATTTCTGTAACGCCTTTTACAATATACTTTATTCCTTTGTAAGGATACTTCTTTGAGGTAATTCTGGGATCCTCCATGTTTTTTCCAGATGAGAAAACTGAGGTTCAGAGTGGTTAAGTGAGTTGCCCAAGCTTTCACAGCTGTCAAACTGCCCAACCCAGCCTAGCCAGCAATCCAGGACTGCAAACTCTCTGCTTAAGCCACATTTGACCTCACCAGAAGGGTAACTGGACCATTTGGAGATATACCCTGCCCTCAGCTGACTAGATGCTTGAGGACCCTGCCATCTACAGCATGTGGGCGAGGCAGCTCTTCCCTGTTGGATACTTCCCAGCAAGGAGCCCAAGCATCTGGCGTGAGCCAGAAGGCGCCCAGAATACTCGGCGGCCGCAGCCCGCACGTAAGGGCACGTGCTGGGGCCCCGCATTCTGCCAGAGTCCCTTCCACTGGCGTCTGCTCAGCGGAGGCGCCACCTTGGTGGGCTGCGGCCCCAGCGCGCGCGTATCCACCGAGTCGCGAGCCGTGCGCCCTGGAGGCTGGTGGAGCGGCGCGTCCCAGGTGCCCAATCTCGCGCGCGTCGCCTATTCGCGTCCTAGGGACCCTCCGCGGCGGCTGTCCCGGCTTCTGCTGCCTGCCTGGAGCCGCCCGGGCCGCGGCCACGGGTCCCCCACACTCCAGGGGCGGAGCGAGGCGCCGAGACGTCAGGGCGGAGGACGAGCGCGGGGCGAGCGCGCCCTCCCGGCGGCTGCCCGCAGCCCACGTCCCCGGCTGGCGCTGCCGGCGGCGACCGTGAGATGCAGTTAGCGGCGGCGCTGGGGCGCAGCCAGGCGGCCGCGCGGTCGGGGACCAGGGGCTGAGCCCGAAAGACAGCCGTGCGCACAGCTCTGCCCGCTGCCCCAAGCGACCCCGCTGCCTGGGCTCTCCTGGGTTCTAGCTAAGCCCCCCCGGGGTGCACGTCAATTTCCTTGGGTGACTACAGCGTGTGTTTTGTTTTTCTTTCCTCTTTCTCCTGCCTGGGTGCCCTTCTCCAGGATGGCAGAAGCGGAATTGCACAAGGAGAGGCTGCAAGCCATAGCAGTAAGTCCACTTTCATTTTATTTTCTTGCTCTATTGTCTGGGGTGGACGGGGACCCGGAGGGTTTTGGGGTGACCGGCATGCCAGCGTGGAAGCCTCGGGCCATATGTTCCCGGGTAAAGTCTGTCAACCCTCAGCGACGTTGTCTTTTCCTTCATAGATCTGTAGACCTAACCCCTCAGGGCGCATTTAGGACTGGGGATTTGAACGTGAAAGATTGGCTTAGAAATAAGATTCTTGACGCTGGGCTTTGGGGACAGACTACTCAGGCTTGGGGGACGACTCCTGGAATATTATCACCCAGTGCTCAGGAATTCACTGGCTTCGTATGCTGGAGAAGGGAGAGAAGGATGACCTGAACGGAGGCTGCCTTCCTCTGCGGAAGCCGTTGGCCTGTTAAGTGGAAAACCAGGAGCCAGCTACTGGGTCAGCCAGCCACGCGGTGAACCTCCTCCCAGAAACCGGGAGTGTTACTCTCCCCTTCTCTATTTGATATTGACAAGGCCCTGGCCCAAGCCACCACCCTAGAGGGGTCTGAGGACTTCTAACAACTGCTGGATCCTGAGAATAATATTCCAGGGGAACCTCTTCTCTGTGGGGTGTGGATTATCTGCAGACCTCCTTTCGGCATGCAAAAGAGCAACTGGGTTTGGCAAAGTTCATATGCACTCTCAGAAAAGTGCACTCATGTGCATCTTGGGTACAAAAAATAACTCTCTGAGACTGCCTAGATTTGAGCAGTCTTGCCAGAGTGTTGCCAATGATCCACAGATGTGGTATTTTTACTGGAGCCACCACAGCTGGATTATATATTTCCTTTGTGGATGAGGGAATGATTATGGCTGTTATTTGAAATAAGAACAATTAAAAGAGAGGTCTGTTAACATAGAAGACTCTCCAGATATTCTTATACCTAAGTCCTTTTCTTTCCTTTTTTTTTTTTTTCCAGTCTAGGAGTTCCCTGGAAACACTTATAAATTTGTTGGAGAAATACTGTGTATACTGTGTAATGTTTTGGAAGTGAAGTACATGAAAGTATTTTCAAAAGCCTTTGGGCAGATTCTTCTTTGGGAAAATGCACAAAGGCCCAACTTTTTAATTTTTTTTTTATTTTAAAGAAGCATTTGATGTGGTCTTGGTGGCTCTGAGACCTCCTTTCTCAAACTCTTCAAATCTGAAGGGTTCTGGGGACTTTCTCCCTGGAGGCTGAGAGCTGTCTGTCAGCAATGCTGAAATGCTATGGTTTGCCTGTGAGGCTGTCTTCTCTCCCTTTCCCCCTTGCATGTGGATTTGGATGGTTAATGAAATTGTTCATGGTTTCTACAGTTATTGGCAAAGCAGTGTGGCAGTTTGTCATGAACTTGATAAGAATGGGGATATTCAGCTATTGGTGCCATGGAGCTGGTGGGTGTTTTGTATAAACTGGATAATAGGCTGCTTTAACTGTTGACCAAGTGGCTGCTCCAGAGAATGCTCAGTCGCTCCCATGGGCTGCTGTTGACCATTTGCAACAGTTGTCACATTTTCTGCCTTTGCATGGGCAGCTTCCCCGGATGCCTGAGGGACAGCTGAACCCCATGAAAGGACTTACTTTCTAAACACAGAGCCAGCAGCAGCTAATTCTGGGGCCACCCCCTTTCAAGTGGAGTTGAAGAATCCCAGCAGAGGCCAAGCAGATTTTCAAGAAAGATCTAGGCCATCTTTTAGAAATCTCTTGAGTGTGTGAGAAGATAAATACCCACTCGTGCCTATTCAGTGGGGGGATTGAGTTTGTCCTGAGGACCTGTGGAGCTGTTGATGATTCTCATGAGTGGGTCAACATCGGTGAACATGAATGTGGTCAGTAAAGATTTTCTAACAGTGACATCATTGTGTGTAGGGGGGAGGGGATTAAGAGACAGAAGGGTCTGGGGGAACCTGTGGTCACATGAGTAGATGGTTTTATGCCACACTTTGACCTAGAGCACGCTTTCCAGATTGGGCGAACCCTGCCTCTCTCTGCCATTTTCCTAGAGTTCTCAGGGGACCCTGAGGAGCTCATAAGTCTCTCCCAGAGCCTAGCAGGCCTGAAGTCTCTGAGGACATAGGAGGGAAGATAAGAATGAGTTCCTCACATCTTCGCCTGCTTCTGGGCAGTCCTGAGTCTGGGCCTCAGTTCTATGACACGGGCCATGGGTTTTGCCTCCTGGGCTGGCTTAAGGGCCATGAAGAGGCAGGTGAAGCACCTGGCATGCAGCTGCCATTACTTGATGCTGACTGAGGCGCAGCCCTCGGTTCCTGTCTCCTCTGCTGCCTGGTCCTGAAAGTTTTGGGGCAAAAAACCTTAAAGGGGGAAAACCAGGGACATCCTTTTTTTTTTTTTTCCTCTTCTTGTCTTCAATTCTAAGTGAAGGCCAGGGAATCGCCCAGCGTCACTTTCTCTAAGTGCTTCAGGCAAGGGGTGGCGCTTAGGACGTGAGGGTTCATTCACCTATTCATTCAGCAGGTATTTACCGAGTGCCTCCTCCTGGATGATAGGCTGCTTTAACTGTTGACCCAGTGGCTGCTCCAGAGAATGCTCCACGGGCTGCTGATGACCATTTGCAACAGTTGTCCCCCCCGGGAGGGGACTGGCAACACTGAGAAGATGTGTCCCCAAATTTCAGCCATAAGAAGGAAGATTTCACCCTTTGAACACTTAGTTTTCGAAAGGCCGAGGTGTCCCGTGTCCTGAGGTATATGTTACATGATCATGTGTGGGATTCCCCCCGCAAAGGGAATTAAATACTTAGAAACTACAGAACCTTAACTGAACCTTCCAACTGAGTCCAGAGACAATCAATGAGAGAAGATGGCTTTTGTCTTATTTCCTTACAAAAGACAAGCAAGCTCATCTGACGACTGTCTCCACTCCCACCCTGTATGCCCCTTTCATCTCTTGGCACACTCCAAGAGCTGTAAATTTATAATATACAGAACGTCTCTGCCACCGAACAAACATGAATGGTGATTCCAGGGAATAAGAATAATTGCCATTTGTTGAACCTCAAACATTCAGCAAGGCACTGAGTGAAGTTCTTTATTTTTTAACCCACACTTGTTTAGCATCTCATGGAGATAAAAGAAAAGTGCATAAACAATTGCTGTACCTTACACATCTGTGAGCCCTTGAGCACACTTGTGGGACATGCCAGCCAACTTCAAGGACTCTTCCTGAAGAAGCAGCATTTGAGCACATCCTGAAAATTGGGCAAAATAACACAGAACTAATGTCAGAACCTCCCCAATTACTAGAGGGCATTGGTTGATTTGTTGTTTGTTGATTATTTATTTGAAAGGGAAAGCCCAAAGCACTAAGTTGAGTCAGTAGCTAGTGGCACAAACTCAGTGACAGGGCTGATATGCTTTTCATCTCATATTTTCTTGCTTTAGCCTATGAGCAGGCTGATGAAGTGGGCCTGATTCTGTTCTGCTGTTCTAAGGATGAGGAGGTTGTAGAACTGGCCCAGCATTAAGCAGGTACCATCCAGGATTCAAACCCACCCACACCGCAGGCCACTGGAGCCTGTATTTTGACTACTCCCCTGAACAACCACCCACTTTTGGTAGTAGCACCTCACTTTTCCTGTGAGCCCACCCTCCAGGTGGTTCCCCAGCCCCAGTGAGAGCCCACGAGACAGCAGCAGCCTGCTTTTGTAGCATTGGCAGAACCTGAGGTAAACCAGGAGGCCCCCATCTTTTTTGAGAGTCTTCCAAGCCTGGGTTCACTGCGCAGAAACACCCAACGTAAACCAACCAAATGAGTAACACTCTCTAGGGGAAGGAGCTGTGGAGTCTCTGTGGAAGCCAACTTCGGGGGAGGGTGTTGTTATGTCTACACATCCAAGGAAGGGATAATTTTTCTTGAGCATGAGTGAAAATAGTGAAATGTTATAGAGGTCCTTTTGGGTAAAAGCCCTAAAAACCACAAGGACAAGGCCACAGGCCAGCCCCAGGGACCCACATGGGTGTGTTTATGTGTGCTGAAATATGAAATGTAAATCTAACCTACACTTGTTCTTTAGGGAATTTGGTTATTTACTCAGAACCCACAAGTAGAATAGTAAAAAAGTACTTTTGCTTTTGGACGGTGCTTCTCAGTTTGCATAAGCCTCGCACAGGCACCCTTTGCTCTGAGGTGCGTAGGGCAAACCTTGTTTTCTCCACTGTACAGTGGAGTGTCCAGAGATGTCCACGCTCACACAGTGAGAGATGGAAGCATAGCAAGTCCCAGTCTCTCCTGACTCCCGATTCCCTGTGTTGGTGACACATTCAGCCTTGGTAGGGTGCTTGGACCTAGGCTGGACCTGCCACAGATACTCCTGACCTGAAGTTCACTGGCTGGAGGAGAGGGGTGGGCCTGAATGTGCCTCTGTGAAATCAGTCTTTCTGTGGCTCTCACTTTGAGTATCTCTTCATTGAAACTCTCACCTAAAGGGGGCAGTGAGTGAACTCTCACCAGGTTCGGAGCTCTGTCCTGAGTGGGTCTGGGTGTAGGTGGTTGACTTAGGTTGGCTGTGCCCTGGACTCCCAGAGAAATATTTGTGGGCTTCTGCTTGGATTCATCTTTTCATGCCTCTTCTTACCTTGGGGGTGATTATATCTTGGGTTCCAGGTTTGAAGTGGGGACACAGGGACCCAGGAGGCTACCAGCTTGATCCATGCCATTGAGATTGGCCTGCATTGGCTGGGCACA